AAAAATCCTAACAGTATTAAAAAAACGTGTTTTACTGACCGTTATTTTCAAAACTTTACTTCACTAAAAAACAAGAAATAATACATACCTTCAATTTCATGCTGATAAAAAATGTTCAGTTTAGACGTAGAAGCCATTTTACACGCTCTTTTTAGGCTGTACTGTGTAAAAACCACTTTTAATATCAGCAGATAGTACTATCATGTGTTAATAAGTCACTGACAATTTAAAGGTTACTGGTATTCCCAGAAACCAAAGCGGACCATGTCATATAGTCCAGTCTGGCTCGCAACTATTGTTGTCTTAAACAATTTGGACCATCCTAATACATGCTGTCATCTGTTGTAGAGTAGAGGAACTTTATATGGTCCACTCTGGAATTGAAGGAAAGTATATATTATGTTTAAAACCAAACTTATCTTCAAAATAAAGAAGTCAGAAAATTGTTTCAAGAAGATGGTAACGCTGACCAAAAAAGAAAATTTCTTAAAACCGAGGGACTTGCTGTGGATCAAGCTGTGTTCAATTGGTTTTGTAAGACTACAAACATGAATTTGCCAATAGCTGGTCCTATAATTCAAGAAAACGCTCTGGAAATTGCACAATGCCTAGGACTGCCTGACTTTAAGGCATCAAATGGTTGGTTAGAAAGATTTCGTCTTCGACATGATATTACTTTCAAGACAATATGTGGCGAATCCGCTGATTTTAATGTCGAAACCGTGAAATCTTGGAATGAAAATCTGTCTGCTATTTTAAAGGATTGTGACCCAAAAGATGTGTTTAATGCTCTTGACTGGTCTCTACTATCGTACGTTGCCAACAAGAACATTTGCATTGAAAAATGATAAGTGCCCTGAAAGAAAAACTGCAAAACAGCGAATTACAATTTTGTTCTGTGCAAATATAAAAGGTGAACAGTAGGAAAGGAGCTTTTCTGCGGAATTGGACAATACTGTAGGCGGGATACCCCCTACCATCAGAAATTACAAAAAAATCGTTGGAGCCGTAATAAGCACGGTCGAAAGCATAAACCAAGAGGCTACCGAAAAGGATACATTCCTGGTTGGTCCCATAACAGCAAAGAACTGTACCAAAATTTCCTTGAAAGCGGCGATCAAGAATTAGCCGATAGACTGCTCCATAGCCTAGATGCAGTGAGACTACAAAAATGGACGGAAACTGTAGAAAGTCTTAATTTTCAACGATCAAGTAGGCAAGCATGGACAATGGACACTACTAAGAAAATTAGGAAGCGGAACTCCCATAACAAAAAAATAAACAAAAAAAAACAAATAAACCCAAACACTATTGCCTCACATTTGGTATCGACATCTAGGGCCCCGAAAGACAAACCACACATCAAGTTAAAACAAGAGCTCAACATTTTAAAATGCCAATCTGCAGAAACCGAATACTCCCGCCCTTTCACTTGTGAAGAAGTCACTATAGCTCTCAAGGATGTTAAGCCCCAGGTTTTGACAATATTCATCCCGAATTCTTAATTAACAGCGGCAAATATGCGAGAGAATGGATGGCCCACTTTTTCACAGACATGAAGACCGGTACCATACCACAGGAACTCAAACGCTCGAAGCTCATTGTCATATAAAACCAGGGAAACCAACTGATAACAACCATAAGAACTACAGGCCAATTAATAGCTCTACTATCGGCGACGTTCAAGTTACTAGAACGCAACAGAATTATTCCAAAGCTACTTGAATCAATACCATTGATCAGGCAGGCTTCCGACCGAAAATAAGCACCGCAGATCAGGTTCTTTCACTTTCCACATTTATTGAGGCAGGGTTCCAGAGAAAACTTAAAACTGCAGCCGCATTCATAGACCTGACAGCGGCCTACGATACAGTCTGGAGAGAAGGCATAATATACAAGCTCCTCCGTACTTCTTCTTCTTAAGATGCCGTGCATTTCTGCGTAGGCGTCCACCGTACATCGTCTTGTCAGGTGAGATGTTAAATATTCTGGATTAAATAATTCTATTTTTAGCAGCAGTGCGAAGCATTTCATAGCTGTGGATTCCTGTCCATTGTCGAATATTGCGCAGCCATGACATTTTCTTACGTCCCAGACCACTCCTACCCTCCTCCGTACAATCTTCTGTAAATCCACCGCTCGAATAATCAACAGCATGCTAGCCGACCGAACGATTCAAGTAGTCATGGGAACCGAAAGCATTACCTCAAGAAAATTAAAGAATAGACTGACACAGGGATCTGTCCTCCTGGGAACTGGGTTCTTGCAACAAGGTGTAAGTCATTTGAACAGACAGAAGAAATCCTCACGGCGGACTTACAGACAGTGGGAAAGTATTTCCGTAAATAAAGGCTCCAACCAAATGCTATCAAAACAGAGGTTTCCAGTTTTCATCTAAATAATAAGTACCTTGGGGTGACTCTTAACAGAACCCTATCTTTTAAGGAATATCTGTCAAAAACAGCGGAAAACTTAAATCCAGAAACAACATCATCAAAAAACTGTACAACACAACATAGGGAGCATCGACTTACACCTTGCGATCATCTGCCCTGGACCTTGTCTCAGACCCATATCCCTTTTGATAATGTCTTTAAAATGGTTGCCGAAACGTCGAGTTTAAATTCTCAACACGATTCTCGCTCAAGGAGATAAATAAACTATTGTAAATTTGTAACTCGCTAAATTTGGGTCAATAGTATCTCTGATCATACAGTATTGTGCGAATTAATGGAATCATAGGCTGTTTTAATGAAAAAACAGTTTATTTAGTAAAAAATTATATTTTGAAAAAACTATAAAGGTAAACTTACATCATTCAGTAGGAAATATGTCCCCCTTTGGTAGCAATTACTGCTTTTACCCGTTTTGGCATAGATTCTATGAGTTTCTGGCAGTTGTCAGATATCCTTTCATCTCGATACCAAACCTGAATGGCCGCTTCTATCATTATTTTTAGTGGTACAGTCGATTTTTCGCAGTCTAGCTTTGCAAATGGCCCATAAATTGTCAATGGGGTTGAGGTCGGGCGGATTACCGGGCCAATCTAAAACATTAATCTTCTTATTTTTGAAAAATGCCATCATTTCCTTTGATTTGTGACAGGGAGCAGAGTCCTGTTGAAGAATCGCTCCTCCTTGGGGTTGACATTTTTGGAGTTGTTTGTCCAAATACTTTTCCAACATGGATTTGTATTTTTGGCTGTTCATTATGCCTTCAATTGGCACCAAAGATCCAACCCCCATGTATGAAAAACATCCCCAAAACATTTTCTTGACTGGATGTTTTACGGTTTGATCAATATGAGATGGTGTAAGCTTTTCATTGTCAGACTTCCTGACGAATTTCGACCGCTGTCCCTGAACTATCTATCAAAAATCTATCATTTGCTGGTGTTGTTTTTCTCTCTCTTCCACATTTTCCTAACCTTTTAACATCCACTGATCCCGTTTCTCGTTTACGCTTCAAAATTTTGCTTACTACCCCCTGACTCACTCTAAACGTTCTAGCAATCTCTCTTGGTGACATACTAGTGTGTTCACTTAACGTTACAATCTTTTCACGCTTCCTAGGCGTAATATCCATGTTGGAATAAAACCAAAAACAACACAAAATAGTACAAAAACCCCCAAAACAACATAACCTTGGTAAGAAATGACCTAAAACACACTCAAACACACCAACACACAGTAAGGTTATGTTTTCAATGCTTGGTCAGCTGTCAACTGTGTAGGTAGTGTTGCCAACTGTAAATATTGAAAAAATGAAAAAAAAATTCACAATGATTCCATTAATTCGCACAACACTGTAAAACACTCTGGCTTCGAATTGACTGAGCTAAAACGGCAAAGGTACTTACAGAATAAAAAGGCTGATATCTGCGGTCAGTTACATCAAACGGGGACTGTTCCCACATAATCGTGGCGTATCCCAACAGGTAAAGATGAAGATGGGAATTGCAGATAGATACCAGGAACCGCATGATTCGGATAGCCAATTTCAACCATCAAAGACAATAAGTTGTACGTTGAGTGACGGGTACTCTCAATCAAAATAACGGGACGGTGTGTTAACAGATCTACAGCAAGACAATTAGGCAAACAGAATTGACATCAAAGTAAGTGGATAATTTGAATTAGAGGAACAGTTACAAGATAAATGGATAATATAAGTAAATGAACTATCGCCTGGTGGAACTGACCCGCTCTTGAGCTGCTACACAAATGAAGTGAAGTGATATATTTCAGTAGGGCTTAAATTTTAATCTAAAGAGGGGGGAATTCCGATGCTCACAGAAGATTAGCCTTAATTATAAATAGGATATAGAACCGTTTCGAAGCAAATGGACTTTCTTTTTTAACGATATTTTGCGAGAAAAAACACAGCGATGACCATATGAATATCTTTAGTAAACACCCAGAGAATTCATTGTATAAATTCTTGGACGATAAGGGCTCGCGAGCGTACAACGAAAGCAAGCTATTGAGTTGTTCCTGTTAAGTCAAGAATCTTATGGGCACAAAGAGATGCCAAACTGCGGTAATTAGAAATGAGGGCACATGGCACGCCCAGTTGACTTTTTAGCCACAAAATTAATTAGTGTAAGCGTTACTTACTGTTCAGAAAATTTTTGGGAGACGGCACACTAGACTATCGCTGTATGATAAATTTCTGTATGAAATTTAAGAAAGAAGAATTCTTCTTCTGTAAAGAAGTAAATATGAAGAACTAAACAAAAGGTGAAATACACATGAAAAAACTTGAAATAGAATTATGAATTAGTTTGGATATTCCGATCCTTTGCTGTGGGTTATGATTAGAACCATTATTTCCTATTAAGGTTATATTAACTATGCAATTATTTAATAATTATTTACTCTTAACATTATGCGAATGGTCTCTGAATAATGCATTTCTTTTTCTGTTAATTGTTACTACATTTCTCATAAAATTAATATATTAACAAAGTTTACAGTAATTAATCTATGTTTATTTTTTAGAACGTAGTAGACAAAGTGCTAGAGAATGCCGAGCTCGTAAGAAGTTGCGCTACCAATATTTAGAGGAACTTGTAGCCGATAGGGAGAAGGCAGTTTTCGCACTAAGAAAAGAATATGAGCAGGTGAGAGTAAAGAGCCGTTTGGAATAACACGCTTTTTTTTATTTTAACTGTTTAAATGTTAGTCTGGTCACTGGAAATATGCGGTGAACTCTACAAAGCTTATTGTACGTATTTAAATAAAACGAGCGGTTCTAATTTATTTAAGATTATTTATTTATAATCCTAGATCACGATAATGTCTTTTAACTAATTCGTAATAACAGCTCTTCCATATATACTCGTATATTGTGAATACAGTATTTCTAGAACTATCGGGAGTACTCCACCTCTATTCGTCTAGTATGAACGGTCGCTTCTCCGTATCTCGGTCCCTATTTTGAAGGTCCTCGAACATGCGTCATCTTTTCAAGAGATGCATCCGTTATATAGGGTACGTCGAAATTCACATTTTCGTTACACTGATCTCTTCTTAGATCTGAGCGTCCCGATCAGCAACTCTATATGTAGGCCCAGGATGACGTATCTGCAGGACTCTCCAGCTCTGCATAAACCTTTTAAAAAGAAATAACAGTCTACTGTCTTTGAAGGGCACGACTTCTTCGGGTTAATGCAGCACGCAGTAATTCGTACGCAGGTTTCGTGGAAGACTTCAAGCATGCTTCTGACAATCTTCTAGTCCAGATTTGCTAGAGTATGACCTATCTTTGATAAGGCCAAATTCTTGATCTTATAATTGCACATGATTTTTTTCAAATTAGTTAAAGCACGCCATATGTCGTCGTAGCTTGCCTGTCTGTATAAGTCTTCTTAGATAAGATATATAGCAAAGATCGAGGACCATCTTCTAATCGCAGTATTCTTCCAACTTTAGGCTGCTGGTATTTTAACTCGTGCATGCGATGGAACTTCTTATGGAATACGGACGAGATTCCTTTAGTCATCTATAGGTATAAATACTAATCGACATGTTCGACCGTTTTGTCGACTACTCCCTCATTGATTTATTAGTTAATTTATTCCATTTGGCTGACATAAAGTGTATACACATTATCTTTTCTGTTCATTTTTGCAATGTGTAATAATTCTAGTGAGTTTTGTTTGATCTTGATTATTGTCAACCAGGTAATAATTTCCATTTTAGTTGAAAGAGTGGAAGGTTGCTTTTCGAAAAGAACACTGTGGTATGGAGCATTATCCATCAAAATTAATGATGGCTCTTTTAAATTCGGAATTACTTGTTCACTTATCCATTTAGTGAAAGGTTTATTGTTCATGTCCTCATAATAATCAGCTACTTTAGAGTTCAGCTTCAGTAATAAATCCTTTCGAAGAACCAGCGTGAACAATTATAAAACGTTTACCATCATACTCTTCTGGTTTACTATACTTTTAACATTGTCTGTGTTATGTGCAGAGACAGTGTTAAACCATTTACAAATTAATCTATTTTTTGAAAACTTGACTGATCTTGTATAAAATATATTTTTATTTGTTTTAGTACATTTTTTGGGCAAAGGAAATTGATGCCGGCAGAATTCCAGAAGGTATTCATGAAGCACTTGAGGAACTCAACTTAAATCAAGAACAAAAGTGAAGTGAATATCTGATTGTGATAATTGGGAAACTTTTTAGTTTGGAAAGCGTTTTCTTTATTGGGAAGCCATGTATAAGTTTTATATTTATTGTTTTTATTGCATTACTTGAAAAATATATTTTACGTGTATTTTTACCTTTCTGTTGTTCCTTGTTAATGCTATTGGAATCTGTGATAGCAGATTAACTTCCTAGTAGTTAGGGAGTTAACCCCCTAGCCACCAGAAGAAACTTAAAAGAAAAAAATATTTTCGTTGATCGTATAATAATTCTTACAGGAACTTATGGAGGCAATCACAATTTTAAAAAATAGAAAAACAACTAGCAGAGAAATAAACAAGGACCTTGTTAGATATGGTGATCTTATGCTACACTTAAGAATGTGCATCAAATCGTGGCAAACGGTACAAATTATATGACTCTTTAAAAATTGACTAACAATTGCGAAAACTATAGGACGTATTGTATTAAATGCAATCTATAAAATATACCCCAAAATTATTAACAGTAGATTGAAAGGTAATATAGAAATCAAAGAAGTACAGCACGGTTTTAGAAAAAAAGCAGATGTACTAACAATAATCATTATAAAAGAAATTGAAACACTAAGAGAAACCTAGTTTCTCTTAGTGTTTCGTTTAAGACCTTATTTCGACCATCTATACCATAAATTGATATTGTACATTCATCCGTAACAAATACTTTTTTCCAATCGTCTATAGTCCATTTGACATGTTCACGGACAAATGCAAGTCTACACTCTTTGTGATCAGCATTAAGTAATGGCCTCGTTGCTGAATTGCAAGCCATCGAACCCTGTTCCCTTAACCTTCGTCGAACGGTAGAAAAGCTGATTACTGGTCCTTGGGCTTGCCCATGACTTTTTATAATTTACTGTACGTCATCTTATAGTTATTATAAGTCATTGGATAACCATATTTAAATTGGCAATATTTTTTTATGATTTATTGTTTAAAAAACAAAGTTAATGAAATATACTCAGTTGAAGAGAAACTAGCAATAATATAGATGTTTTATTCAGACAATATTGCGCGGACTGTCGGTTTTTTATTTAGCGTAAGATATCCCTTTAAAAGATTTTGAAAAATACTGAGATCGTGAGTCCTAATTATTGTACCTGTACAAACAATATTGCTGAGGTACCAAGAAATTTAGAAAATCTGAGATCTCACCCTAGTCATATTAACTTATTATGCTTTTGCACAATATGCCATCACTTCTAAACATAAGGTCAATTATGAAGAAGTTAAAATTTTTTGCAATGAAAGAAATTTCAGTAAAAGATAGCTTGTACATTTTTTTACACTTAAACATCCGAATGCTCTTAATAAAAGAACCGACATTAGTAACTTGAATCAAATTTGTCACTCCTCAATATTGCAAAATTGAATTATACTTTTGATTCATCTTACCATTTTGATCAGCTAACTTATTAATACTTTTTAAAATAATCGACGATTACCTTGCTGATTCTTCAAATGAATAATTAAACGTAATGATTATAAAAAATAATTAAATATAAATAAATATACCTTTTACTTGTATTTACATAGTCCTTAATTTGATAAGTGTAGTGAACAAAACATTAGCCACTATGATTTATTTCTTTGAATAGGTAGTGCTCTAGGCAAATTTGAGATCCACATTAATAATAGAGGTGTTTATGAAACCTTGCTTACTTCATTGATGTTAACTTACACTAACTTTGGCAATCTCCTGCTATATTAAAGTATTTGAAATTACTGCTCTGTTAGTTGGAGCCTACTAACATTTGTAAAAAAAAGGAATTTCATTAATAATGACCTAAAGATAAAACTGAGGATGAGAACTTTAGAGTGTTTTGTATTCTCCACTTTATTGTAGGGGATGCAAATATGTACACTAAAAATAGAACGTAGAAATAAGATGAAGCATTTGAAATATGGTGTTACAGGCAGATTCTGAAAATACCGTGGATTCAACGAGTTCAACGACGGCAACAAAAGAATTTTGAAGTCTTGAAACTGTTAATGTCAGAAAATTGGAATATTTAGGTCATATTATTACAGGTAAGAAGGATGAAATGCGTAAGGAAACATCAAGGATAAAAGAAACAGGCCAAAGGAGGATTTCCTGGATGGAAAACCTACGCAAGCGGCATAATTTCAGCTAAGTAGATCTGTTCATAGGAGCTGCAAACAGGATACGGATTAGTTTAGGTGTCACGAGAGAGGGGAGAGGTTCAGTATTCACTTTTATGTCCCCTCAGTACCTTAACGTTTTTTGTTATTAACAATTTAATTATTTAATCGTAAAATAGTTTCGAAACACAATTCAGATTTCTGCTTTATAATCTGAGCCTTCTAAGAATTGCAAGGCAAACAGACGTTGATAAAAGATGTTAAAAGAGACATGGGGAATCTAAAATTGGCATTCCACGACAAGGCAGAAAATATTGATTTTTCACGTTGAGAACCCCTATGAATAGCTCTTCTGACGAGACCTATTAGGTCGAAATACGTATCAAGAGATACATAGGATTTGTTTGCGTGAAATCAAATATTTGCTGCCTTTTCTCATTTATTCGGATTTACTCTGGGAGTACTAGAAGCACAATTCGCTAAGGATTTCTGCTTAGTTGTAAAAGACATGTCGTGGAATGCAAATTTTAGTGTCTTTTTTAACATCTTTTATCAACGTCTGTTTGCCTTGCAATTCTTAGAAGGCTCAGATTATAAAGCAGAAATCTGAATTGTGTTTCGAAACTATTTTACGATTGTTTAATTAGATGTCGCTAGTGCGTCCGTATTGAAGCCATGTTGTAATATCCTGGTAAACCTGCCAGGGTATAAGGATGAATAAATAAGAATGTTTTATTCCAGGTCTTTTATTGTGATACTTTATAATCTGACACCCTCATGTTGACTGCCCTAACATGACAGGTGATATCCCCACGAGGCTCCTGTTATGTTGGTTGCCTAACAATGGCACCACATATATTACATCCTCCCTCTTATAGATTTAAGCGTTCAGGGGGTTTTACAGAGCGACCCGACCTAGTAGTTTTAAGCGATGGTTCATAGACTGGCTCCACAAGAGGCAATCCATGAACACTATCTCTTTGGTTTCTACAGGACTCTCTTTGCTCAGTGGGCAAGATATTCACTTCACACTGGGGCGGGTCACTTGAATCAGGATTGAACAGACTACATTGTATATTATCATGTCCAGAAGCTGTTTTGAACACATTTAATGATTCTCTTAAATCTACTCTGTTGCGTCTGACTGTGTCTCCATTTTCATTTAAAACCATATAAGACCTTGGTGTCCCATGTTGGCTAACTATTTGACCTGGTTCCCACTTCTTCTGAACATGATTGTATACTGTAACATCAGTATTATTTGTTAACGGTGGTAATTCTTTGGCACTTCTATTATAATACTTATTATATGTATTGCGCCTATGTTGCAGCTTCTCAAGCACATTTTCACATAACTTAGGTTGCAATAACTCTGAACTAATAGGTATTTTAGTTTTACAAATCCGGCTCATTAACAATTGAGACGGGGAGTAACCAATATGCTTGAGAGGTGTATTACGGTATTGCAGCAATGAGATTTCAATATCACCTTCTTTTACTGATTTCTTAATTATATTTTTTGCTATTCCTACTCCTTTCTCAGCGAGGCCATTGGAGCGTGGATAATTCGGGCTTCTCAGTGATGATTTTGAAATTCCATTCTCTCGCAAAATTTTTACAATACAAACTATCAAATGGTATATTATCACATGTTATACAATCTGGTGAACCAAACACAGAGAACACTCTTCTTAATACCCCAATAACAGCTTTGGAAGATTTATTCTTTATCAAATGCAGGTCCAACCAATTTGAAAATGAATCAAATATAACTAGGTAGCTATTTCCAGCATATGTAAAAATATCTAGGCCTAGGCGTTCCCAAGGGCGCTCAGCAATTGGGTACAGTTGCAGAGTTTCCTTCTGTTGCTTGTGTGCATTCGACTCACATGTTCTGCATGCATTGATGTGATGTTCAATGTCAGAATTAATACCTGGCCAATATAATATCTGTCTCGCACGAGCTTTGCTTTTTTCAATGCCAATGTGACCCTCATGCAGCAATTTCAACATTTCTAAACGCAGTGACTGGGGCACTATGACCTTATCAGACATCAATAATAGTCCATCTATAGAGATAAGGCTCTCTTTCACTTTGAAATAATGTCGTATCGACTCTGGTACTTCCTGTTTGCTCTCTGGCCATCCATTAATGCAGAACTCAATTACTGCTTTTAGATGTTCATCTTTCTGTGTCTCATTTGCAAACTGTACTTTCCTTTCTTCAGACATGGGTATATTTTTGACTACTGCATGCACCGCATATTCAAATTCATTGTCACTTTTGAATCCTTTTTCTGAGAGGAATGCACGAGAAAGTGTGTCCGCAATATATAAATATTTTCCAGGTCTGTATGAGACCATTAAATCATAGTCAAGCAATCTTAAACGCATTCTTTGTAATCTTGGAGATATCCGTGCTAAATCCTTTTTAAATATGACTTCTAGTGGTTTGTGATCAGAGTGAACTTTGACCTTCTGTCCGTATACAAAATAATGAAATTTTTGAATGGCAAAGACAATCGCTAGCATTTCTTTTTCAATTTGGGCATATTTTTGCTCTGTTTTAGATAAGCTTCTAGATGCAAATGCCACTGGATGCCCATCTTGCAACAAACATGCACCCAGTCCATCCTTTGAAGCATCAGTTTCAATTTCAATTTCTTTTTTAGAGTTAAAATATCTCAGTACTGGTGATGTCGTCAATAAGTGTTTAAGCTGGAACAGAGACTGTTCATGGATGTTATCCCATTCCCATGTAACATCAAGCCTTGTGAGATCACGTAATGGGGCTGTTACCTTTGACATGTTGGGCACAAACTTACCCAAGTACTTCGCCATGCCTAAAATTCTCAATAATCCTTTTTTATCACTAGGCCTAGGCAATTCTGAAATTGCTCTAACATAGTTTTTGTTGGATTCAACTCCACTTTTTGAATAAATTTGTCCCAAAAACTTTACTGATTTTAGTTTAAATTGAACTTTAGAGCTATT